GGATGGATGTGGTCGGTCCTCTGCCAACTGCAAGAGCTCAGAACAAGTATGTGTTACTGGCCACGGATTATTTCACTAAATGGGTGGAGGCAGAACCGTATTCTAGCGTGACTCAGACTCAGGTGAGACGATTTATCTGGAACAACATTATCTGCCGCTTCGGTGTTCCCAGAACAATAGTCATGGACAATGGCACAAACCTCGACAGCAGGCAAGTAAGAAAGCTGCTGGAGGAGTATGGAATCAACCAGAAGTTGGCTGCAGTAAGTCATCCTCAGGCTAACGGACAAGCAGAAATCACAAACAGAACCATTTTCGCCTGCATTAAGAAGAAGCTGGAAGATCATAAGGGGAAGTGGTTGGATGAACTCCCGAACGTTCTATGGGCTTACAGAACCACCCCAAGGCGGCCGACTGGGGAGAGCCCGTTCGCGATGGCGTATGGTACCGAAGCAGTTATACCGGTTGAGCATTTAGTCCCCACTATCAGAAGCTTAGCATGGAGTCGAGATCAGAACGACAAGATGTTAAGATTGAACCTCGACATGATAGACGAAAGGAGGGACGCAGCGGCTATAAGGCTAGCATCGTATCAGCAAGTGCTGGCGAATAGTCACAATAAGAGAGTAAAACACAGGGATTTTGCCCCGGGCGATCTGGTTCTGAAAAGAAAGGTGGGGATGGTCAAAAAAATGATGCCACCCTGGGAAGGCCCATACAGAATTGCAGAAGTCATTGGCAAAGGGGCATATACGTTGGAAACCATGGCGGGAAAGTTGGTCAGCAAGCCCTGGAACGCCACGTCTCTGAAGAGGTACTATCAATAGAAGCTAAGTTCTGGTTTTAATTGGATGTTATTTGTTGTTAATCAAATACATATGAATGAGCAAGTTACCGGAATTTACAAAAAAAGAAGAGAAGAATTTTCTTTTCCAATGGTCTACTATAAGAATTTAAAGCCAAGTGGCAAGTGGCATTCTAGCCGAGCGCCAGGCACTTAAGCAAGATAAGTGGCAGCTGACACTATAAGCCGAACGCCAGACACTTGCTAAAAATTTAAAGCCAAGTGGCAAGTGGCATTCTAGCCGAGCGCCAGGCACTTAAGCAAGATAAGTGGCAGCTGGCACTATAAGCCGAACGCCAGACACTTGCTAAAAATTTAAAGCCAAGTGGCAAGTGGCATTCTAGCCGAGCGCCAGGCACTTAAGCAAGATAGGTGGCAGCTGGCACTATAAGCCGAACGCCAGACACTTGCTAAAAATTGAAAGCCAAGTGGCAAGTGGCATTCTAGCCGAGCGCCAGGCACTTAAGCAAGATAAGTGGCAGCTGGCACTATAAGCCGAACGCCAGACACTTGCTAAAAATTTAAAGCCAAGTGGCAAGTGGCATTCTAGCCGAGCGCCAGGCACTTGCCGTACAAACACACAGCAAAACTAATATAAAAAGAAAAAGAGAGAAAAGATATATATGTACTGAAGATAAGTTGAACAGAGCACAACACATAGAGAAAAAGAGTTCGGCCATTTCATTAATATTGAACATTTAGTTTACAAAAGAGAGGTGTCCATCATTACAAGAAGATATGAACTGGAAGAATTCGAAGGAGCCCTAGCTAGACGCCTCAGTACCAACAGCATCCTGGTCCTGCCGACTCGCCTCCTCGGCCCCATCAGCCGCCTCACCTTCATGAGGTGGGGAATCCAGGTGAATAACTGAGTCGTTCGGCTGGGGTTCAGCGTCAGCAGTGGCTACAGAGGGAGCCACGGTTGACGATTGGGGAGCGGTCAGTGGCAGAGCGGTAGGAGGAGCTGTGATGATCCTTGAGGATGCGATGTCCTGGCACTCATCAAATATACGCTCCGCTTCGGTGGGTTCTGGGTCGACATAGACCCCCAGAGGCTCGATCCCCAGATCCTTGTCTACCTCATCCGGAGTGGAGCTGGTCTGTCCCTCATCCGGAACCCGGTCGGCGAAGCCTTCCCGGAATCCTTGAGCATACCGAAGAGCACCGACCCTGGAGAACCGAGCATGAAGGGCCAGCATCCCACCACCCACTCTGCTGATAGCGTCGATCAGAGCGGTACGCTCGTCCAGAGCTCTTTTTTCAAAAGCCATCCGAGCAGACTGTTCATCAGCTAGAAGACGTTGGAGTTCTGCCTTCTCTTCTCTGAGTGATTCCTGCTCAGTCTGCCAGACGCTCTTCTCGAGCTGGAGGGCGTCCTTCTCATCCTGAAGGGAATCATTCTCCTTTTTCAGGACATCTCTCTCTTGCTCGGCTTTGTCAAGCCGAACCAGCACCTCGGTATTCTTCATGGCAAGGAGGTCGTTCTCTTTATTAGCCACCTCCAGGCTGTCAGAATACTTTCGGGCCCTGGCGTTCCCCATTTCCACCTGCTTCTGCATGGCCATCATCCCAAACAATGTCTGCATAGGTGCACAATAAGAACGGTTAAACCAATAGTCAGAACGGGAGAAGGCAAGACCAAGTAATATAAGAGAATTCATGAGTTAGAAAATAAAAGTCACCTCCATAGCAGATTGGGGAAAGCGACTGAACACGTCCTTCTGGGAAAGGCCCTTTGCCGCCTCAATGTCCTTCGGAGTCCACATGCTCCTGTAGTAGGCCATAGCGGTCTGGCCATCCTTCAGCATGGTCTCGTTCGGTTTCACGAACGTCCCATCCGTTCGAGTGTACCGAGGGGCCCATGGCGGCAAGCTGGGGATAGAAGGGGGGCCTGAAGCAGAAGCAGAGCCACCAGCTGCAGGAGGCCCAGAGTGAGAAGGAGCTCTGATCGCTCGGTGCAAGAGAGTACCCGGCCCAGAGACTCGGGTCCTTCTAATAAGAGGCTCCTCCTCAGGGTCGATTTCACTGTCAGGATGAGGCCTTTTGCCTCGCTCTTTGTCCCGACCGCCCCCCGCAGCAGCAGGAGCTATGGTAGCTGGGGAGGGCGCGTTCTGGTTGGCCGCAGGGGCGCTGGCAGCAGGGTTAGTAGCCACTGCGCTCGGAACAGTGTCAGATATGGTGGCTGAAGAAGAAGCCGACGCTGGAGAGGAGGTCGCCCCAGCAGCAGGAATGACTGGGGGAGTATTTTTCCTCCTGCCAAAAGAGGGAATCTGCAGTCTGCTCATATTGTAGCCGAGTGATGAGAGCGCAAAGAGGTTGTCTGAAGTGAGGAGATCTGAGCAGGAAGGAATATCGTTCAGAACGTATCTCTTCAAGTAGTTAATCCTATCCCTGCAAACACTGTAGCTCAAGTCATCACAAGGTATTCCCAAGGAGCGGCATAAGTAAGTGCAAAAACGAGGAACGCATGTTTCACAGGGGCAGTCGTGTTTATGGGATTTGAATTTTTTATAGGAGGAGACAGAGCAGACACCAAAGGCGCTCGGGATTGGGTAATCCTCTGCAGCCGGCGAAGACCAAGCCCCACTAATACCCACTATGCTATCCCTCCAACCCTTTTCAGATTTTATTGTGTCAGTGCATATGGACATCTTCTCGAACGGATAGAGGTGGTAGAAGGGCTCGTTAGTACGGATCTTACTGACCTTATAACACAGAAGGAGGTCTATGAGGTCAAGGTCCAGATTTCTGTCACGCATCAATAAGAGCATAACAGATATGATCCTAAAGAAGTTGGGGTTGACCTGCAGAGGGGATATCCCCAATCTGTTGAAGACGTAACTAAAGAAAGGGTGCAGAGGGAACCTAACAACATTCAGTTGAAGGTTTGTGAATAAGACTTCGCCGGGCAGGAGGCCGGCGCCGGTCGTAATATTAACGTCTTGGGGGCAAACCCTAACTACGATGTTGTCAGGAAGTCTAAGTCTCATACGAAGAACACCCAGATCTACAACCATGGTGGAAGTGCAAGAAGAATCTAGAAGAGGGAAAATGGAAGCCTGCCGAAAGTAAAAAGAACGAAACTAACCTCGGAGGACTGCAAGATCGCTGGGAGAATGACTCTCGAAGGATTTCACCGGAAAAGGCTTAGCACAGTTCTAGAAAGAGGGAGATTTGGCTGATGATGGAGACGGTAAAGGGAAGTGAAGTGGAATTCGAGAGCATTATATAGGCAAGGGGGCCCGAGGGCCGAAGCGTCGGGAAGGCAAGAAATCCCTCGAACCCCGGAACATTGATTCTGGATCTGACCGTTCGCTCCCCCACGTGGTTATCTCGAGCCGTCAGCGTCATGATGAGACGCCATCAATAATTACCCCTTATTAAATAAGGGGCAATTATGGGGGCAGTTGAGGAGGCCCTGGATGACATGGGCCAGGTCCGACTCGCAAAACACAACCTTCAGTCCGAACAGCTGGGTCAGCCCATAAAAAGACACTGCCATATGGGCCGAGCGGGAGTAAGCCCATCAAGAGTGACCAGGGCTTACTGAGGAATAGGCCCAAGTCCAGCAATTAGTAAATATCTTGTAAATATCTTGTAAATATCTGGGAAGTATCTATAAATAGGAGTTGGAATGAAGAGGAGGGGGATCTTGATTCGGGTTGAGGTGTAAGAATTCTAGAGAGAGAAAGAATAGAAGGAGTTTCTTGCATCTTCAATGTACAATAGTGTTCTCAACTTCTCACCCACATGCTAATAAATTTCCCAATATACATATTAATAATATCATAGTAGTAATATTTATTATTCATTAACAAAGAGTATATGATCATTTTTTTTTTCTTCCATATTTTATTTATCTCTTGTTTTCTATCATTTTTTTTAATCATTGTTTTTTATTCTCTTTTGACATTTAATCTTTTCTTTTTTTATAAAAAAAAATATACTTTTATCGGTTAACGGGTCTATTCTTTATTTTTATTTTTTTTGGGAATGTTAAGCAAAATTAACAGGTCTATTCTTGTTATGTCTAAATTATCATAGCCACACACTTTGGGCCTTCTGGGAGGCTCATAGCCACAAGCTTTGGGCCTTTTGGGCTAGTTTGAGAAAGAAGAAGATAAAGTTATAAAAAGAAAAAAAATCCAAATAAAAACCAGCCTCTTTGTTTCTTGTTCCTAACGTTTTTCAGTAACAGCCTCTCATTTGCCCCCCATCTTCCATTGCTCCCTCTACTCTCTCTCTGGTGAGCGAGCAATGGAGATGGCCATCGGTTTCCACAGCTCACCCACTCCTTCCGTCTATATGATAAACCCTAACCCTAACCCTAGGGGTAGTTTCAGTTTCTCTTCTCCTCGTTTCACGAACCAATTCTTTGGTCGCACCTTATCTTCATCTTTAATCACCAAGAAACCCTTCAAACTACATTCGACGAACTCAATTGGCCCTGCAATCAAATGTGCAGTTTCCGAGGCTACAGAATTCTCCGCTGGTATTTCGAATGTCCTCTTTCTAAGTTTGCAGTGTGAATTTAAAGTCTGAATTTTCTTGCTTAAGTTGTTTGGGTGCATGTTTTTAAGTGTGCGTGCATATATATATATATATACACACACACACACATCAAATTAACACATGGTTGGAATATCTTTGAGCAATCTTGATCATTTCATCTAGGTTCTTTGGAGGTCAAAGTATATATTCTATATATAGTTCGCTGGGACCATCCTCCAAACATCTTTGTGTGTTCCCTAATGGTCACGTCCTTTATATAATATTGTGTGCCTACAAGAATTACATTTAGTATGGTGCATCTATAAACATCCGAGACTTGATTATAATGCCATGACACAGAGAAAAAGAGCCAATTAATGAGGAGAAGGGACATAAGGAATATAGCTATTGTTGCGCACGTCGATCATGGAAAGACGACATTAGTGGATGCAATGTTGAAGCAAGCAAAGGTAGCATTTAAGGAATTTATGTATTCAATTTGTAAATATCTTCTGCTATAAAAATTACTATTTAACTGCTTACTTTTTGGAAGAAAGACAATTGAAAAAATTTCTCCAACTAAATATGCTTTTTGAGATCATTGTCGTTTTTGTTTGAGTTGGCAAAGGTATAATAACATAATTTGTTATCTTTCACGTTGTTGTACGTTATAATGGCTAATGTATTGATTCAAGATAAACAAAAGGTAACAATGCACAACTACACAGGATGTATTGCAACTAATTAAACAAGGTCAATACTCATAGGATGTTTCAATAAAGGATGCTGAGATTGTTTCAGAGTTTTTAACACAGGTCATGCTAGAGTGTCCAACATAACCTTGTCGTAGCTCCCATATTGGTGCTTAGAAAGGGACTGCCACATGTGAAATAGGAAGCGTAGTAAAATCAAAATAGAAGAACTAGGAGATAAAACATAGGAATGGTGCCAAAAGAAGATAGGGCAGGATAACTTGGATTCAGATTATTTAGATCTGCATAGAGAAAAGGTTGTGGTTTAAGTATCTAATACAATTTTACTTATATTAAAAAAAAAAAAAGTATCTAATGCTATAGAACTTTATGAAGGTGTAACTATAAAGATGAGAAAAATAGAAAGAACAAAGATAAGAACAAAGGTCGCATTAAAAGAAAAGGCAATAATATTAGTGCTGAACTAGAATAAGAAAGAGCATAATTAGATTTTTATGTTTTTATAAATGTTGATGCAGAATTCAGATATGAATTTGTTGTGATTCTTGGGAAACTTAATGCAGTTAAATATTTAGCATTTAGAAGCAATGAGGAATAAACTTCATTTCATAATCTGGACAATGCTAATGAGAGATTGTTACACACGCATGCACATATTATATTTACTTATCAAATAAGGCAAGGATGACAATGATGATGAACAATCAAATATAGATTGTGTTCGATGGACTTCCTAATATTTCATGCACTCACTGGGCCTCGTAAATGTTCATATAAAGAATGTCCTACTGACAAGTAGCAAGTTGATGTTATATTGAGATGCTGACTTTCATTTAGAGGTGCTTTAATATACAGTTCATAGATGGATGAGAAGGCATCCCTTTAATAGTGTTAGAAATGTAGAAGAAACATGGTTTCACTAAAAGGCTATTGAGAACAGCATTTTTCCAAAAATTGTTCTAGCCACTCGTAACTTGTGAAGATTAATATCAGTGCTAACTATTCATCATCTGTGTTTTCCTTCTTCAACTGATCAGTGTAGAATGATGAAGCTAATGTTCTTTATGCAGGTATTTCGTGAAAATCAATTTGTACAGGAAAGGATAATGGACTCAAATGATCTAGAACGTGAAAGGGGAATTACAATACTTAGCAAAAACACATCAATCTTTTATAAAGATACAAAAATAAATATAATTGATACTCCAGGGCACTCTGACTTTGGAGGAGAAGTGGAACGCATCCTCAATATGGTGGAGGGTGTTCTTCTAGTGGTACTCGCCTTACAACCTTTGTTACTTGGAACTATTTAATTATGGAATCTTGTGATTTCTGATTGATGATTTTGATGACTTCTGTTTATATTTGGTTATGCTTCTAGTGATATTTGATTGGTGGCTTTCGATGACTTTTGTCAGTTGCTTTCTAAATTCAAAACTTCAAGCAAATGTGTTAAAATACCTAATGAATTGAAGTTTTTGAACAAAAATGACAGGTTGCATATTCTGGCTTGTTCAAGTGAACATGTTTTATTATGATTCTAACTAGAGAGTAAGAGGTGAACAGATCCTAGTGGGTGACTGGATAATGGGTTTCCTGGTAGCCAAACACACTGTTTCCTCATCCACAATGTAAGACCTTACACTGTATGTGATGAAATCAAACCTAAAATGTTTGAAGGGTAAGACAGAAATTTTGATATGTGCTACTGGAGAGTGAACATTAGTTTGATGGAGTAAGTGTAAGTCTTATTTTGTCTCGTTATATATATTCTAAGCACCCTACATAGAAGTGCTGGCAAATCAATCATACCATATCATAATTATTTATTAGTCTTGAATGAATTATTATATTGAATGATGACTATACATATCTATATTAGCGCTCTCTAGAAAATATGTTGGGCTTAGAATTGGTGCCTCAGGTATTTCTGTGCTATTTGAAATGTTGAGCCTGATAATGCTGCAACATTTATTTATGAGACAGAAGTGTTTTCTGGACTGTAGATTAGAATAATTTTGAATTTGATAAAATTGCATTTTTTCAATGAAAGTTGATAACCTCTTTTAAGGGAAACATTTATTTTGTTTCATTTGAAAGTCTAGAAGAATACATGACTTTTATTTGTTCTTCAAACAATACGGGCCACTCCCAAAATTAATTTCTTTATTTTCATTTTTGGGCTTCGGGTCATTTATTTATTTATTTATTTTAATATATTTTTTCTGCTATTTTTTCTATGTTATTATCTAAGTAAATTTTCAAATTGGATCATGTTACCCGAAAAATATGTATTGCACTTTTTTTTTGTAGGTAGATTCTGTTGAGGGTCCAATGCCACAAACAAGATTTGTTTTGAAGAAGGCTCTGGAATTCGGCCATGCCGTCGTTGTTGTTGTTAATAAGATTGATCGACCTTCCGCTCGTCCAGATTTTGTCATGAATTCCACTTTTGAACTCTTTATTGAACTAAATGCATCAGATGAACAGGTACTTCTGCGAGACAGAATCTTGAACTTAATCATCTCTATCTGTCAAGCTTGGACCTGGACTTTGAAACTTGTTTCATATTTCAATATAAATGTTGGAAAATCAAGCAGTTCTTGCAATCTATAGAGGGAAAACACTGTTTAGTTATTCAAAATGGAGCGTGAAACAATACTAATTTGCCGAACCTGGATATAGCCTGATTTCAAGTGATAGCCCATGTCTAAACCAATGACGCCCTTTCCAAACCTAGACAAATCTGTTTTGTAGAAGTGAAGTCGAAAGATTGCCACCTCCGTTATTGTTCCCTCTCTGAATCTATTGAGGTACTTATGTCACAATTATTTAAGATCCATAGTTTAATCACCAAGTGCTTTTCGTTTTGTTTGCAGTGTGATTTTCAAGTAATATATGCAAGTGGTATTAAGGGAAAGGCAGGACTTTCTCCTGAAAATTTGGCAGACGATCTTGGACCACTATTTGAGTGCATAATGAGATGCATACCAGGACCACAAATCGACAAAGATGGTGCACTTCAAATGCTTGTTAGTGGTTTTCTTAATATCAACATTCCTACTTTTTCACTCTTATGTTGGTTCTCCCTGTAATTTTTGCTGCCTCCTTTTTGATGTTTTATAGACTCTCCAGTTCTGCAATAATTTCATAATGACTAATTTGTATGAAGAACACAAAGTATTATTGTGGACTTCAAAAAGGTGCCATGTAAGGAGATCTGTAAGCAGTAATCTACTAATCTGTGACTCATTACTAGGATGTACAAAGAAGAGTCAAAAGGGAATAAAAATCCTATTTATTTACTTTTGGATGAGAAATGTAAACTATTGGATGGTCTGCCAATTCTGAACTATTGGTCCTGAATTGATCACATCAGATGTCACAAAACATTTAACATATGGAAAAATCCTAGACTGGAAATAATTAGCATTTCGATAATTCAGTTTGTAATTTTCTATAACATTGTTCAATTATAGCTCCATTTCTTATTAATGGACAATCCTTGTAGATCAAATCCAAGGATCGTAACTACATTTTTGGTAATGCTCTGAGGCCATAGAAGTTACTGTTGTTCTAGCTTTCTCCTTTAATTGATGTGAATTTTAAAGGAAATAAAGTATGTCTTATTCAACTCCAACTTTCAATTAATTGAAATACATTGTCGCAAACAAAATTGATCAAACAATTCAATAATAGAAGATCATAAAAAGTTAGAAATTTATGTGAATATCATAAATGAATTCAAGGTCTTTTATAGCATAATATCCTTTAGCTTCAAGTTTTTTTGTCCTGTGATTTGAAACGTAAAACTCATCACTATTTATTTTTATTTGATGCTTCTTTCTATTATATATTTTTAATATCCGGTATATTGCTTATGATGCCGTCATTTGCTGTTAAACACATCTTTAGGTCATGAATATTGAGTGGCTTCTTTCTATTATATATGTTTAAAATCCGGTATATTGATTATGATGCCGTCATTTGCTTTTAAACACGTTTTTAGGTCACAAATATTGAGTTTGACGAACATAAAGGACGAATTGGTATTGGGCGTTTGCATGCTGGGGTTTTGAAGAGAGGAACAGATGTGCGAGTAAGTGTGTTTTGGAGCTAAATTTAATTTTGTAATGATTTTACTAAGGAACTATTCCTGTTGAGTATTCTGAGTACATTAATTTCGGTCACTGGCCATTGTCACATATTTTAGTTTTTTTATTCCTTCACATGATTTCATTCTCTTAATAAAATTGCAGTCTTAATATCTCCCTTAAAATACCGACCGAAATGCACCTTGGCTGTGTAGGATTTAGGATCGTTAAAGTGAGACAAACTCACCCATCCATAAATTCGTGTGTAGAATCTGCATCTCTTTTTTCACCCCCAGATAAAAACAGCAGACTTGTGTAAAATACAACCTCCTTCACCTTTTGAACTATATATATTTATACATTGTCCACATTGTATGGCATAGTGGTGCCATGGGTTGATACTTCTAATGTTTAGTTCAATGGTAGTTTATCTGACTATAACTAGTTAAATTTTCAAAGCAGAATGAGGTCAGATTCTTGTCTTCCCTTGCCTAGTGACGGAGCCAAGAATTCACTTTGTGTGTGTGTGTTGTGGGTTGGAGAGGTGGGGACATAGAAAAACAATAATACAATTCTTTTTTTTTTTTTAAATAAAGTAATAATTTTAAGAACCTAATATTGATTGATAATATTTCCGTTAATTATATTTACAACTGTCATCCATGAAATTTCATATTATGCAAGATTTTCATACAAATTGGTGAGAAACACTATGTATATTTAAGTAACACGGTTATACAAATAAAACTTCCGGACCGGAGAAGCATTCGGGACAGGTTCCGCATTCATTTCCTTGGCAGAAACTATCCAATCCATTCGGGGCTTCGAGGAACCAAAACAAATTCAGATTGTGTGTGTGTGTATCCCTCTTATTGTTAATACTATAAAGAATTTTTCAATAATTCAATCTAGTTAGAACTCTACAAATCTAGAAAATCCTGGTTTGAAATAATTAAAAATTAATGAATGGAACTTGTCTTTGTAGTGGAAACTTGGAACTATTTTCAGTTAGGTTCTCAAAATAAAAACACAATTAATATTTAGATATAATCAAACCAACAAGGGAATTTGCGTGCTTTATAATATGGGTCTATATTTTTTCTTCTAGTGCATATTCATGATTTCCATATATACAATAAAAGATTAGACAAGTATGCTTCATTTGTGAATTTTTTTTGTACTTTCTTAGTAATTATGATCCTTCATTAAAGAGAGAATAGCTGAAAGAAAATCGTGTAGCGTAGAAAAAGAGGATTGAAGATGAAAATATGGAGTGTCCAGTGGTCAGAGAGATTAAATTGGGGATATAGATTAGAAGTGCGGAGGTAGCCTCTGTCTTTGCCCTCATCCCTCTTCTTTCTCATATCGAGTTTCAATTGGGTTTTAAATCAGAAACACTGGGTGTTTGACTTTGGCTCTGATATGCTCTATAAACTTATAAAATGTATCCTTGCACACGGTGTATGTACATCCGAATTCACATTACATACAAAGATATAAACACTTGCATTGTGCATGTGCATGTATTTTGAGCCTCCTATTCAAATGTGAATCTTTAAGTGCATTACTTACAATGTAGCTCATGTGAAGTGATGAGGCATCCACCAGAATATGTGATCCAATTTGGAGTTTAAATAAAAAATATCATGATCAAATGAGTTTTGTTTGTCTAATATGAAGATTTTCTTCTACATTTCAAAGTCCTTGCATGGTATCACAATAAAGTTGTTTTTTTGCCTGTAATAAAATCCATGTCAGAGTAAGCAAACACTTCTCCATCATTGATTGGGTATTAAGTTGTTTTATTAGTAAGCACCAGCCTATTATTCTAACATTTACTTCCATTGTTTCGATCATTTTAGGTATGCACCTCAGAAGACTCATGCAGATATGGAAGAGTTAGTGAACTTTTTGTGTACGAGAAATTCAATAGGGTTGCAGCAGAAACTGTAGAAGCTGGTGATATATGTGCTGTCTGTGGTATTGATGATATTCAGGTGGGATAATCTAGTACTGTGTGAATCAACCATTATTTTATTCTCACCAAACGGTTATTACTTAATATAATCACTGTGACGTAAAGGGATCCTTACGTCCTAAACACATTACAGACCATCCATATCATTACACATTAAATCCATAGGTTTAATGGCCTGTAACGTGGCACAACTGTAAGGTTGCTTCATTATATCCTAGAGGTCATAGGTTCGAAATGGGAAACAACCTTTCCGCATTGGAGGTAAGGCTGTGTACATATGATATGACTTAAGTCACACAATCCTTCTCAACAGGTGTTGCTCTCACGCTTCGAGCGCATTCCCGCTTTCACGCTCCGCGTGCGCTTTTGCTCAAATTCTCACTGCTTATGACTTAATTCTGCTGCTCTCACGCTCACGCTCTCACTCTCGAATTCGCTCTCGCTCCTGCTTTATGTGACTTGGCATATGACCCTTCGTAGACACCGCAATGGTGGAAGCCTCATGTATTGAGCTAGCCCTTTTTAACAGTCGTTATGGCACCATTATGGCCTCATCAAGATGTTGATTTTGTTAAAGCCCATTTTAAGCTATTTTTTATTTTTCCTCTTCTTTTTGGAAGCTTTGGAGTGCTAACAAAACAGTATATAATAATAGATCCACCCTCCAGAACAAGTTTAAAAGATTTAACTTTAGATCTTTTTTTTTTTTTTGATAAGTAAAGATGCATTAGAAAGCTTCAAAAAGGGAACGTGTCCCAAGAGCTGTACAAAAATCGAAACAAAAAAGGGGGAAAGAGGAAGACCTATGGATCCAAAGACCCCAAAAAGTCCACGATCTCATTTAAATAAATACAATCACTCCCTATTCCCCAACTAAAAAGAGAACAAATAATAGCAAACTTCAACGCCCCAATGGAAATCTCCTCCTTATCAAAAGATCTTCTATTACGCTCTTTCCAGAGACTCCACCAAACACAAAGGGGGGTCACCCTCCAGAAATCGCGAACACACGCTCCCGCCCTTTGGCCCCTCTAAATATCGATCAAGACTCTTGAAATCCGGTGCATAACCCACTGGACGCCAAAAAGACCCAAAATAAGACTCCAGCAGTCATAAGCCACGGGACAATGCAAGAAAAGGTGATCCACAGACTCTTCATTGTTCATACATAGACAACACCGGTTGACAATGACTTGTCTTCTCTTCCTCAAATTGTCGAGAGTCAAGATCTTACCCCAAGAAACAGTCCAAACAAAAAAGACCACCCTAAGAGAGCCTTCGAATGCCAAACCGTTTTTCACAGGAAGGTGGTACCGTGTGATGTGTGTCAAAATATACCACTCGCAATAGTACGAATTTTTGTAGGATAGGAGTATATAAAGGGTGTCAATCCCACATGGAGATAGATGTTATTTGTTCTATTTCTAATTAATCCGATTTTAATTCGAAGATAACTGATGATTTGATTGATTGGTTGTCACGAATGTAAAATAAATTTAAACTAAAATTAAGGTAAATAGATCAGAGAGAAAGTCTTAAGGCTTGACTTCACCACAAATCTTATACTATGGTCAACCATTCAACCTTGGGATTTTAACAATTTATATATCATATGAATTAAAACTTAATAATATTCGTTTAATTCGGTTTTAAAGATGTTTCATAAATTTCAATTAACTATAACCTATCTGCGGTTAGCAAGAACTATCCACCTACCTACTTCTAACTACTTCTAACTAATTTTGCAGTATAATTCATTTTTCCTAAGTATAGACTATGAAAATATTCATTCATGAAAAACATTGGAACACCATTGCATGATCTCCATTCTTATGTCCGATAGGCCTCCGCTAGATACCGTCTAATAAGAATGGGTTGAGAATAATTGAAGAATAATTAAATCTAAGACAAGATATTAATCATTCAAAAACTATTTAAACATTAAAATCCAATTGATGTGACTCAATTGCTCATAATCATGTAATCAAAATATATAAATCATAAAACTTCCCAAAGTTAGAAAAATCAAACCATCGTACTTAGATCGGGTTGCATCAATGCCCTAAGAGAAGAATTAGCTACTCATGACGGCGCAAGATATTATCTGTGTTGTTGTGGTCTTCATCGTCACGGACTGCACTTCTCTTCTCAGGATCTTCACATTCTAAAACTACAGAAACCCTAAAAGCTGCCACCACAATATGAGAGAATTCAGAATAAAACGAGAGAGAGATTTTCTGTGGCGTTGTGCCTTCTTTTATAGAAGAATTAACTTTTATTAAGATTCTGATGGGCTTTTAGGTCTTCTGATGTCTTCTGGCCCATCTTGGATGAAATAAGACTTAATAAGGACAAATCCCGCATCTAAAAAGTCGTTGTCATGGATAGCTAAAAAGTTTGAGTTGTCATGGATAGCTAAAAAGTCTGAGTTGTCATGGATAGCTCGAGTTTAGAAGCTTAAGCTCGAGCTTTTTGGAATAGGGCTCGAGCTTTTAGGAACAAGGCTTGAGCTTTACTTCTATATTTAGCCAAATTTCTTCAAATCTTTTTCGAATCGCCTTTTCCATCTACACTTAGAATATTTTTGGACTTTTTCTTTTAACAGTGCTCAATCCTTCCTTCATGGTGCTTGAGCCCTAGGTCTGGAGCTCGAGCTTCTTGGTTGTGGGCTCAAGCTCTTTAGCTGTGGGCTCGAGCTCTGTGGAACAGTGCTCGATCCTTCGAGTCCTGGCATGAGGTCTTGGGAGTATGGCTTTTCTAGAAACAACTCTTCAAATTTCGACGTCTCATGGGCTCGAGTTTTTAGGCAAAGGCTTAAGCATCCTGAGGTTAGGCTCGAGCACCTTGAGGTTGAGCTCGAGCTCTTGAGGTCAAGGCTCGAGCTTTGCTGCCTTAGTGTAATTTCTTATTTCTTTCTGCTGAGCTCGAGCCTTAGAATTGAGGCTCGAGCCTTGGCATTTAATTCTTCCAAATTTCACCATTTTAACTCTCAGCTTGATTCGAATGACCGGCAACGACTCTGTGCAACTCCAAAGGTCTCATATTCAATGAGTGCATACCCTTTGACACATCTATAAGCTTTGATATCAGTCTTTTCATCTTAAAGTCTCGGTTTTAACCGTTTCTTTGGGAAAGTACATACAAACACAAAATAAACATAAATTAGTCTAAAACTAAATAAAAGTACACTTAAGGTCTTAACATACGTATATTTAGGGGCTCGAATATACAATATTCAGCGCTCATCACCATGAAAGCCTGAAAGGCGGAAAAAGAGACCGGACCTGAAACGTCCCCTGTGGAGAAAGCACCCAAGTCAAGGAGTCCAAACTTCTATACAGTATGTCCAGCAAACCAGTGACATCATCCAACTCCCAATCCTGAAAAGATCGCCGAAACTGCACATCCCAAGACAACCTACCGCTATCAAGGCGATAGCAGTCAGCAACCAAAGCATGTCTATCAGCAGCAATCTTGAACAACCTTGGGTACAAGCAAGACAAAGGACGGTCCTCGCACCAAGGATCCTCCCAAAACCGGACGTCCCTTCCTTCCCGAACTCTGAATCTAATATGCTTATAGAACTCATCCCAACCCTTCCCAATGGATTTCCACACCCCCACACCGATAGCAGAATTGACCGGCCTAGCTGACCATCGCCTTCTCTCCTCCCCACACTCTAAGGCTCTAAAACACTCCGAGGCTCTAAAACATAATTCTTAACAAGCACCCCTTTGTTAGAAGTGATTCCAAACAAATCCAAAAGTCTCAATGATCATGGCACACCATATGTTCTGCCAAAACTTCAACCCCAATCATTGCACACCACATAAACTATGTGTTTCAGATAACTGTCTCCATCCTTTCTAACCTCCTTCCACAGCCCAATCCTTGAGAGCATGTAATCTCTATAAAAATCCAACTCCTGCACTATCCCGAATTTTCCCTTTACCACCTTCTCTCATGCTATGAAATTCCATCTCATACCTCCACAATTTACCCAGCAGAGCTTCATTGATTGCCAAAATGACAACCCCATGAACACCGGAACCCAGAGGAGTTGACATTGACTTCCAAGCCTGTGTCTGTTACATAATGTCCTATACAACCTGCATTCTCATCAACATGTAATCTCTATAAAAACCCAATTCCAGCACTGTCCCCAAATTTCCCTTTACCACCTTCTCTCATGCTATGAAATTCTGTCACATACCTCTACAATTACCCAACAGAGCTTCATTGATTGCCAAAATGACCAACCCCAGGGACACCGGAACCCAGAGGAGTTGACATTGACTTCCAAGCCTGTGCCCATTACATAATTTCCTCTGTAACCTGCATTTTCATCAGCATGAGTGTGACGGAGCAGTTACTTCTATGTAAAACCTTGTTTTGACTTTTCTTATGAGATCAATAATTTATGATATTACTACTTTCTGAGAAAAAAGAAAATATGTCATATAATTTTCTTGTCTAATTTATGTTAGCTATTTTTTTCTTTGCTCAGATTGGGGAAACAATTGCTGATAAAATTTGTGGGAAGCCATTACCTGCCATTAAGGTTGAAGAACCTACAGTGAAGATGGCATTTTCTATTAACACAGCACCCTTTGTTGGCCGTGAGGTATGTCCAATTATTGTAATTAACAGAAAGATTTTCCTATATTCGCCTAATAAAAATGATCTTTAAAGCATGAAGAACATTGGTATTTGTATGCTACTGAGCATATTGTCCTGTACTCCTGTTAATATAATTCCCTTCCATTGCTATATTATTTTGATTATTGTTGAAGGATTTAAATGTTAAAGTTACACCATCTCTAATAGCTTAAGCTTTTAGAGTAGGTGGTGATTAACATAGTATCTGGGCTGGCAAGGTCCAGTGGTCAAACCTCACCCTCACCCTCACCCTCACCCTGATAATTAAAATTAAAACATGTGTTGGACCAAAAGAAGGCCACACACGTGAGGGGGCGTGTTGAAGGATTTAAATATTAAAGTTTAACACTCTCTAATAGCTTAAGCTTTTAGAGTAGATGGTGGTTAACCGTTATATATATTTATATATTGGTGGATGGGGCGAGGGATTGAGGGTGGGGGTGTTGTTCCTTTGCTTTTCCAAGTCAGGAACTTAGAAATTGCTATCTGTGCAGGTTTATCTAATGATGTAATAATCACGTAAGCAATTCTAAAGAATATCTTAATATATTATTGCATATTATGAAGAATAAAAGACTATATACGAGTTAATAATTTTCCCTCCTCATACTTGGTATTCTTTTCAAGATTAAAATTTAGTTTTTCAATTGAGTATGTTGGTTTACACTCTATATTAGTGTTATAGATAGGGAAAGCATGAGCCTCTGAATAATGGAATTAGAATATCCTAATGAGTGAGGCTTAAGCCTTGCCATTTCTCAATTTTTTTTTTTTTTTTTTTTTTGCAATTTAAATTTATGAAATTAAAGGAAAATAAAAATCTTCAGATACATACGGGTGAATGGTGGTAAAACATGCATCTCTTAGCATCTTCTGTGGGAAAATGTAGAATAGAATTTTGTTAGCGATATTTTGAGAAACAAAGTACATTAAACATGAAAAATCACCACCAAGGGTTCTAGCCTGGCCGTACTTCCTTACCTTCTAAAGTAGAAGGTTGAGAATTCAAGTCCCCTATGAGCAAAGTGGGTGTGCGAGTCTCAACTAGGGGAGAAAAACATGAAAATTTGTTTTTTACTCAAATGTTGATAAAGCATGTCTGTGTACGGCATGGTTCAAGGTCTTGGTCTTGGTCACCATCTTAGGATATTGATGCATTGAAGAAATAAAGAAAAAATTACAAAAAAAAAAAAAAAAAAAAAAATTGTCGGGTGGTTATGCGTGAGATTGAAGTTTTTTGAGTTAATGGCAAACACGTTCACAAATAATGCCAAATTGTGGATATGTACTCGGTTTATCCCTTTCTTTGAGTGGGAACCACATTGAGTGATGGCCTTTTTAACAACAAACACAATGGATCCATACTGAATACTCCAACTCTGATTTTAATGCCATATTGTCATTAGGAAGCCTATAGAAGACAGTTTTGGTCCTTTTCCAGTTCTTTGAAGAATATATAAATGTTAATCATGGAATTATTGACAGTAATGAAAAAACAACACATCTGGAGATGACTCGTGATATTCTTAGGCAATAACGAGTCATCTAGTGATTTGTTGCCCATTGTTGTGCAACTCAAAGTGGAGTGCATGTTGTGGTTCCCTTTTAGTGAGGGAAAATAATATATCAATTTTTATTTTATTTTTTCAAGATTGATCCAACTTGATTTAGTCAACTTGGAGTCGGCTTGGAATCAACCGAGTCTTTGAAGTTTGAACAATGGCATACCTAGGCAGGCTTGATGTATTTTGGCAGTATTTTAATGCCACTTTCTCAGCGAGTCATCAGCATTTAGGAACGTTTTTGAGGCCCACCCTTTCTATGATGTCACCATCTATTTTGTTAGATTGATAGAATGAAAACTTGACACATGTAGCATATGCTACAGTTAATTGGGTGTAGTTTTCTGTTAGGGTGTGTGGGATCAAGAAATTGGATTGGTCCTCTGATCTTAATTCAAGGTTAAAATTAGAACTATACGGTGTTTGAATTTCTTTTGGCTGAAACTTTGTTGATTTTCAATGATTTGATCAATGGCTTTTAATCTGTTAGCAAACATTTTACCCATCACTTATCTTGATTTCTCTTAAGCCTACTGTTTGGATTTGTCTTAAGTTGTATCATTAGCATTTGTGGCAAATGAGCATTTCTTAATGGTGATCTGACTCAAAAAGTTTAAAATTTTCTATGTTTCCCTTCAGGGGAAGTACGTTACTAGTAGAAACCTAAGGGATCGGCTCTACCGTGAGCTTGAGCGGAATTTAGCCATGAGAGTTGAAGATGGTGAAACTGCTGATACGTTCATTGTTAGTGGACGCGGTACTTTACATATTACTATACTGATAGAGAACATGTAAGTTGAAGTTTAAGGAATTGGATCTCTTGTTTTATCTTCTCCTTACATATTCATCAAATCATTCTGTGTATCAGGCGAAGGGAAGGATATGAATTCATGGTGGGACCCCCCAAAGTAATCAACAAAAGGGTGGATGACAAGTTGCTGGAACCTTATGAGGTGATTTTTCCATTGATTCTTTTCCTCCTATACAAGAAAACAGAACTGTGGATGCTTCATGGTTATCACATATATGGACCTGCATTAACATTATTTAACAGCATGCTTGTGTTCTCTCTGTTCGTTTTATAAATGAACACAGAGGTTTTATTTATTTAATATATTTTTTTATAATCATAAATGAACATTCTTGTGCAATCAAGAAATGACTATGATGATGGCTTAGGAGTCGGCTTACCTAAACAACACTTAGATTGGGAGTTCAAGGATTGGTAGATAGGGAACTGAGAGTCTGAGACTGGTGATGGCTTATAGCAGAAGAGGATGCAATATCTCAATTTTGTTACGTTGTATATGTTGGAATGACATAATTGACATTCTGGAGAGGCTACCAAGCTGTTAAATTCTTAGTAATAACAGGTCATACAATCACAAGGTACCACCATTTCAAATTTATTTTTTCCTAATGTGGATTCCGTGCAGGTTGCCACTGTGGAGGTACCAGAAGAACACGTGGGCCCTGTGGTCGAACTTCTCGGTAAAAGGCGTGGGCAGATGTTTGATATGCAAGGACTTGGGTACGTCAAATATTCTCTCTGTCAGTGTTTTTCTGTTAATTCATAACCATCCTACTTCCAATTGAATTTTTTTGAAGTTGTGGAATTATGACATACAGCATTTATAATACATGACAATTATTAATTCATAACTGTTCATTCATGGTACTACTTCAACTGCCAAACTGCAATGAATGTGAACTTCCAGGAGGGAGTTCAAGATTCTGCGACCCCTTGGGGATAAAATCCATCTTATATCTTCTTTCATCACTTCTATGGTAATTTAGTTCTGTTCTTTTTCAAATTCATATGATCCAAACGGACTAATTGTAGCATCTTCTACTCAGCTTGTATCAATGTATGCATAAGTGATCCTATCACATCCAAATCATGGGATCTAGTATGGTTATCCAAGGATTTTATTTGAATCAGTCTGCCAAATGTCTGCTCCCAGGAAAATAGGGAGAAAAACAAAGAAAGAAAGAAAGAGAAAGGCGAAGGAAAAAAGAAACACATAGATTCAGTTCTATCAGATTTGAGTTTGAGGATGGCTACTAGTGTAAATAATATCAGAGTTTAGGTCTCTTACCCCTGTCCAACTAACTGCATTGGCAGGCTTAGCTAACTACTGATGGACTCTCTCTCTCTCCTGTGTGCTTGTGTTGAGCCTTTTTTTTTTTTTTCTTTTTTTCTTTTTTTTTTTGGTTTGGTGGGGTGGGGAGGGGTTAATAGTAGAAACCTGAAATTGCATCATGCACAAAATGACAGTTGCATTTTCTGAATAGCCTTTAATCAACTAGGAGTGCCCTTATGTTATGATTTTGGGGGAACATTATGTGATTAATGGTGTCATTGACAACAAAGCTTGTTCTCTTTAGTCTTTCAAAGGAAGATAGGTGTGGTTGGTCTTCAACTGCTCACTCTCAAAATTACACAGAATAGAAGACGACTTGTGTAGTCATTTGAGCTGGGGGATGAGTAACTCTGGTTTGTATAATGAATTAATAATCATAGCATATACTATTTTTTTTTTTTTTTTAACTGTTTATTTTGATTAGTATTGTTTTTCTTTTTTTACCATTGCACACCACTATACGAAAAAGGTAATAAATAAAACTAGGTTGTGATATACTCCTTTTGAGTATGTGGTTTCATTATCAGGTAGGGGGTGTACTTATAACATTGACGTGTATTGGGTGGGGGGTGTTCTTAAATCATTGACATGTATTGTTCACTCCTTTGTTAGATACTTCGTTCTTTCTGGAACTCATTACCCTTGATACTGCGGATGGTGTATCTTTCATATTTATTTCTTTTCACCGGAAATGAGTTGTAGAAGTTCTTTTTCAAATTTGTCCCTTTGTTTGTATAATATCTATCTCTTATAATCTGAACTTCATTTCTCTGCTAGGTCGGAAGGAACAACATTACTCAAGTATAAGATACCAACCCGTGGCCTTCTTGGATTGAGGAATGCAATTTTAACAGCTTCTCGAGGCACGGCAATTCTTAACACAATATTTGATAGCTATGGACCTTGGGCTGGTGATATCAGTACCCGTGATCAGGGTTCATTGGTAATTTCTTACTCTGTTTTTCAATTTTGTACGAGGTTCAAATAACAATTTAAGTGTTCCTTTTGGTGAAAGCCTTACGTCACTGTTTATTTTTATAGTAGTTATGGTGGCAAGCACCATTACTCACTTTTAGCCCTGTTTTAGTTTAATAATATTTCCACCTCCTTTTTTTTCCCCCACTGTAATGGGATAGCACGTTTTATAAACATTACAGTGCTATGTTGTGCCTTTTATTTTCGATGTTGTGATTGGGTTTTAAATTTTTTAATAGTTTTTGTAATATCTTAGGCTCTGTTTGGATAGATGGAAATTAATAGTAGAAAGTGAAAGTAAAAGAAAGTGAAGTGAATGAAAGGAGAATAAATTTTCCCTTATGTATTTGATTTGCGTAATTTTTTTCAAGAAAACTATGATAAATTACTATTTTGTGGTTTGAATAGCATGAAATTTACCATAAAAGAAAGGGCATTATTGTATCATATAAATTTCTCAAGAAATCAAAAATTTCCTATGTTTTTTTTTAGGAAAATTTTATGGGAAAGTAATTTATCCTCAAAATTTTCTTTTTGCTGCTAACCAAACTTCAAAAAATTTTAGGAATTAATCTTGCTATTTCCGTCTAACCAAATGGAACCTTGTATTACTTTTTTTTTTTTTCAGGTTGCATTTGAGGATGGAACCACATCATCTTATGCACTTTGTAGTTCACAAGAAAGAGGGCAGATGTTTGTTGGCCCTGGTATAGATGTTTATAAAGGTCAAATAGTAGGCATTCATCAGAGGCAAGGTGACCTATCGTTAAATGTGTGCAAGAAAAAGGCTGCAACCAATGTACGGTCTAACAAAGAACAAACAGGTGAGAAACTGCTTAAATACATTACTCATTTACTCCACTTTGTTTCCCTGTTCCAGAGAAAATCAGGTCACTTGATTGAACTGCTGGAAATTTACCCCAACTATGTACTGCTTATTTTAATTTATACTTTCTTTCATACACAGTCCAAGTTCATGATTTCTCTATTTGCATTCATTAAATAGTATATTATTCTTGCTATTAGTAAGAAATGTGATGCTGCCCATAAGCTGTGATTATTCTCCATAACCTCTGAGTAGTAAAAGGGCATATTTGTTGTGATTGTCCGCTCATTAGCAAAACTTCAGCTATTCGGAAAGACTGAACAAAGAAACCTGCATGAAGGTGGCACGTAGACACCGGCTAGCACATGTCAGCCATATATTTCATCCTGTTAAATTCGAAAAATCACTTTAAGATGGTTTGGACTTTTTGATATGATTGCAGTAGAAAACTCATCCCTCAAAAATTCAATGATGTGACATATTGTGCACTGTAATTGAAAGACTAGCAGAAAAAGGGTCAAATTGGAGCTTTTCTTATGTTTAGTTGTACGTTAGTTTCTTTTGGTTGCCATTGTTTTATTATGTTGGAATAGTATATATAGCTTACTTCATTTTACTTGATGACGACAAATGTCTCCCTTGATTAATGCAGTGGTTCTTGATACCCCATTGGATTTTAGTCTGGATGACTGCATAGAGTACATTGAAGAAGATGAACTGGTCGAGGTTACTCCCTTGAGTATCCGAATGTGTAAAAATCCCAAGTTTGGAAAGAAGATGAGATAAGTGCTCAATTATAGACAACACCATGAGGATTTGTTGGCTTAATTCATGCCATATACCAGTGTGATCTTTGAAGGGCACTATAAAAGTGAAGCATTCTACAACCGGCAATTCAGATAGTTGAATTAATTAGATAAAGGTAAGCAAGTTTTCCTTATTCAATGGATGTATGTAAAAGTATAGAATTAGTTGTATTACTGAAAAATGTTACAATAGTGAAATTGCGAGGTAGAGAAACTAGTCCTCTGATTTTCATCTATTTGTGACCCCATTTTCCCAAATGAGTTGCAAATAGTACATATTAAATTTCACAGCATTCTAATATCAGATATAGATCACAGGACATTTACAGTTCTCCAGGATTTTGTCTCATGAAGAAATAAACAGAGTTGATGAGAATGGTTCTGTATAAGATGTTGAAATTTTTATTTGGAATTGTGTACGTAGCCGAGCCGATGCAATTTTTTATTTTCAGAAGTATATTTCTCTTCTCCCCTGAAAATGCGTATTGAAGTAGGGTTTGTAGAAAATTTAGGGCACAGAGACTAGCACTCTTAACACCTGCTTGTATCTTATTCACTCACTGGTGGAGTGATCTCACTGTCTCTAGCGCAAGGGAGGGTCTAGGTCCAAAGCTTGATTTTGATTTTGATTTTGATTTTGATTTTAACCATTATAAATATCAAATATGCAAGTTGGTGATATTTAATTTTGATTAATTCCAAAACCTGTTCCAAAGTCAATAAGTTGGTGTTTTATGCGTGTGGATGATTAGTACATAGGTGTGTCTATCCAAAGAGAAATGTTCTAAGATCTTAGAATTGGTCATTCAGTTTATAATTTTTATCGTCGTGTGCAATTCATAGACTTTTTCCTTCTAAATTTATTGGCAATTTAATTCAAGACTTCCAGTACATCACAAACCAATAGGATATAATGACATATTATATATAGCATTACCTGTAGATTGTCGTGTACTTGTTGACTTTTTAGTTTACTGTATTTGTTAGGTTTTGGCAATGGGTCCCTGCTATTATTATATGACAGGTGGGTGGTAATTGAGGGTTTCCGCACACATACCATTCTTGACTTGGTACCAAAAGGTCCAAAATACTGAAACAGCCTCCAAAAGTAAAATATTTTTTTAAAGATATTTTATTATTTGGTGTTTGAGATTGTCTTAGGAAAAAAAAATAATAATAATTATATAATTACTAATCGGAACCTGAATTGTACTAATAATTATATATTTTGTTTTAACTATATAATTACTAATATATATATGTTATTTACTGAATATATATATATATATATAATCATTGATGCTTGTTTGACTATAAATGCGGTCCAAGGTATTGCTAAAAAATAAAATAAAGGGAAACAGAATTGAGCTGAAACGGTTCTAGTTTCATATCCCAACAGTTTCAATTTCGATTCCAATTTTTAAGAACTATTGAGAACGTTTCCGATTCTGTCAAAAATCATACCAAATCGAACCAGATATTTTGTACCCCTAGGTACAAGGCATAAAGATTAATACTCCGTAATCAAATTTAAATGCACGTTGCATCTTTCATATGAAAATTCATATCTTGACTCATTTTTTTTACTTGTACTTTAAACTCAAAACTAGAAACCAAATTCCTAAACCTGAAGTTCAATTCATTACGGACTGAATTTTGAGTCAAACTCTTCATTTAAACCCTAATTGAACTTAGTTTAACTGATTGGTAAGATGCCTTAACAAGGAGAGTTTAATTGATATATATATATATAAATTGGTCCAAGTAAGTTATTAAAATTAATCCATTGAAATGGTCATTATTTCTGAATTTGAAGTCAAATGGGCGAGTCTGACCGGCCAGCTGAAAGGACGCTGCTTACGTTGTTGGAGTCGCTGAAGAAAAAGACCAAAATTGAACTTTTCATAGGCGGAGACGTTAATTTAAACATATAATATAAATAAATGTAATATTAATATAAAAAGGAAGGGCTGTTGTTTTGAATACTTTGCTTGAGCATCGAAGTCCTCGTAGTAACAACAGATGCTGAAAACTCAAATATTTTTCCAACCACTCACAACACTCACCACAAAATTGACTACTCTTTTTTAATCACAAAATACTCCTCTTATTGCTGTCTGTAAATTGTCGCGGCCGTAAAAATGCTTATTACCAGAGGTGTATTTATGTAAATAAGGCTTCCTTTGTTAATTATTTTTGTTTATTGTTTATCATTTAATTTAAATATAATGAATGTTTATGTGTAATTTTTGTTTGTTTATCCTTAAACAGATATATTATTTGATAATATAAAAATATTTGTCTTATTTAAAAAATAATAAATTGAAAAACATGTTTATTAACCTTAAACTGTTTTTAAAAAATTACACCAGTTTCAAAATAATAATAAAAACTTATATGAAGTGTTCAATTATTTTTTACTCATAATAGTTTTCAGGTAACAAATTATTATTCCAATCAATTTTTTTTCTTTTTCTTTTTCGAGAAGATATTCATTACTTAAGTAATATTTTAAGATAGTCATTACGAATACCTAATAAAAGAATGTAAAAATGAAAATTTTGATTTATTCTTATTCTTTGACTTTATATACAAAGATAAGTTTACTGTTTAACTCACTTCCTTTCTAACTGATATTGGCAGTTTATATATATATATATTGTTTAGTATTTTGTCTCATTATTTGACCCACTTCCATTGAAATCATTGCCAGTAACATGTTGGCTCACTATCACACTGTGTATATATGTATTTGAAACTTATATATAGAATTCATAGTAGCCCATCTTTACAAAATTGACGTCCAGCGCCCATACACACACACACACACACATCCAACTCTCTTTACTTTCCCTTTTTTCATGGACTCTTATATTCTCTAATAAGGTTATTCACAACTTTATCAAATGGGATGCTCATAAAAAAAACTTACTGATCTTTAATAGAATGTATGACCCTATTGAATATCTAAAGTCGTAGAAGATGTTGTTTGTTTTGTTTCTTAGCTCCTAATTCCTTCAAGGCAGGAGAAAAAAAAAAAAAAAAAAATCTTAAACGTCATTTTGACGTTTAGAAAATTAGTTTGTGTGAACAGTAATTATATAAATGAATTTATATAATCGCTAAACAAAAAAAATATTAACAATCATATTTTTCTTTAAAAGTTGTTGTATATATACAATAAATTATAAACATAAATAGTTAGCCAACAACCCTAAAAGCAACCTGTTTGAGGCCGCTACCCATAAAATCACCGGTGTTTATTTTGAGTCCACTACTTTTACTTTTAAAAGCATTCAATGGCATGGACTTGTGAGTTAACATCCTCCCATTTATCCAGTTACAACATTTGATATGTTTTGCCCTTGTCACAAATTAACAAAGGTGCAGTAAAATCTATATGATCTAAAAATTATATAAGAAAATTTTACTTGACTAGGTAAAGGTTTTTCAATATCTCAAATAGATTACTCTTGTTTTATATCAATATTTCAAATAAATTACTCTTGTTTTATAAGAGTAAATTTATTATAATAATAAATAATTTATTATTATATAATCACACACACTTAAAATAAGTATGAAATCTATTCATGTTCAAGTATCGGACTGTTTGTCTGTAACGTCTAACTACCACATAGGATTCTCGTATTTGTACAACCCCTAAAAGAGCGAAGCAAACTAGTTGCTTTTGTCAGTACATATGGAGGGTATTTTGGTAAACAAATCCAAATAAAAATGCATAAAAACAACCATTTACAGTGATTTTATTTATTTTTTCTTCCTGAATAAATAAATTTGTAAAATTTCCGAGTTATGTATATTTTGGGAAAAAAACAAAATAACAGTAAAAAAACACCAGAGAGAGGGGTAGGAGGGAAGTCTCTCCAAGGAGGAGGCCTTCCCTTGACTTTGTCTCCTCTGTCGTCCATCATGTTGATGGGGTTCACGCGCTAAATTCCTTTTCTTATCGTCTTCTTCACCATTTCCCCTTAAATCACCACTCCATCTTCTAAATATTTCTGTGTATAACCAATTTCTCAAACTCAACCCCATTCAATTTCATTTTGTTTGTTGAAATTTTTTTCACAGCTTGAACAGGTTTGTTTCTCGTATTTGTCGATATTTTCAACCTCAATTGGCTTCCAAGATCCGGGTCTCTTAAGTTCGTCTTGTAGTCTTGAATCCTTGACGAAACTCCCACGTTTTATTCTCTTGATTTCTTTGCGTTTTGAATATTAAAGATCTGGTTTTGATCGATCTTCACCTTTAATTTGCTCAAATTTGAAGACCCATTTCGTCTAAAGATCGAGGGAGGCTGGGAATTGAAGTTTTGGCTGGTAAGAAGTCGAAGCTTTATTCTCTTGATAGATCTTGACACATATCGTGGTTGATCTAGGGCTTGATTGATTTTGTCCAAGAGTTGAAAATTGAAGCTTTAGTTCATGGGAAATTGTTGTGTGGTACCAGCTGTTTCTTCAGAGAAGAAAAAGGGTAAACATAAACCAAACCCATTTTCTATTGACTACGGTCATGTATCTGGAAATGGTGAACGCAAGTCCTGTGTGTTGGATAGCCCAACTGGTCACGAGATCGAGCAGACATACGAACTGGGTCGTGAGCTCGGTCGTGGTGAATTTGGGGTTACATATCTATGTACAGATAAATCTTCAGGAGCAGTGTTTGCTTGTAAATCCATATCTAAGAAGAAGCTGAGGACTCGGGTGGATATAGAGGATGTCAGGAGAGAAGTTGAGATCATGAAGCATTTGCCTAAGCATCCTAATATTGTGACCTTGAAGGACACTTATGAAGACGACAATGCGGTCCATTTGGTGATGGAGCTGTGCGAGGGAGGTGAATTGTTTGATCGGATTGTTGCCAGAGGGCATTACACTGAACGTGCAGCATCAGCTGTGACCCGAACAATCGTCGAAGTTATTCAGGTGAAACCTTTTTCATTGATGGATTTTGATGTTCAAATTGGTGCTGTGATCTGATTTTCATTTACCGATTTTGTGAGTGTGAATTCACTGGGTATTGATTGGTTTTGGTTTATATGATTTATAGCAAAAAAAATATCATTTCTATACAAATCTATAACTAAGCACAGAAGAAGAGCTTTATAGAAGTCCTAAAATTAGGACTCCTTGGAGTTAAAGATTTCAAACACCTTCTGCTTCAATATAGGAAACTGGAATTTTATGGTTATTTTGAGGAGTTGTCTTCTGGGTTATTGTTTACATAATTAAGTGGCTTTTGTTTGGTCCTTCTCCTTGAAGAAGTTGATTTTTGAACCTGCTCCAGTGTATGAATTAGTGTCTTCTGTTGTGTTGCAGATGTGCCACAAGCACGGAGTGATGCATCGTGATCTCAAACCTGAGAACTTTTTGTTTGCAAACAAGAAGGAAACAGCCCCATTAAAGGCAATTGATTTTGGCTTGTCAGTGTTCTTTAAACCTGGTAATGCCTTTTTGATAGCTATTGTATTTGAATAATTTGCAAATTCGGCATCACAGATTAGTGCCTTCATTGACATTGACTGTGGTTTTTATAATTTCTATAGGTGAGAAATTTAATGAGATTGTAGGAAGTCCTTACTACATGGCTCCTGAGGTTCTAAAACGAAATTATGGTCCAGAAGTGGATGTCTGGAGTGCTGGAGTAATCCTCTACATCTTACTTTGTGGTGTCCCTCCATTTTGGGCAGGTCAGTTTTCGTGTGCCACATAAGGAAAACATTATTTTTTCCTCTTTGGTGAGGGTTGTAACCCTAAACTACATGGATTGATGGATATTGGATGTCAACTATTATAGCATGTATAAAATTGTGCATGTTATGGGCGCAATTACAGAAAAACCCTTGCAGTTTCGAGTGTTTAAATGAGAGTAGTTATTTTACTTTATTGTTATTCTCCTACTTAGCATTTGCAGAAAGCTTACAAATGGTTGGAAAATGGTGAAATTTGTTAGGAGGTCAAATTAGATCCATGTTACTGCTACACTTTTGAGCTAATTTGTCAAATGAATAAGGTTGTTAAATTCACACCGCTCTCTTGTCATCTAACTAATGCTCTAGCTCACCCATGTTTTTGTCCTCAGTGTAATTGTATTTTTTAGTTATTACTTAGAAAAGAGTGCATCACTGGTTTCACGTATTTCCAACATTTCTTGTTGTCCTTGCTTCTCCAAGGCCTCTTCCTTGTTCAAACCAGTTCCCTTAATTTGCAGAAACTGAACAAGGAGTTGCTCAAGCAATCATTCGGTCCGTTGTAGACTTTAAGAGGGACCCTTGGCCTAAAGTTTCAGAAAATGCAAAAGACCTTGTGAAGAAGATGCTCAACCCTGATCCGAAACAGCGCCTTACTGCTCAGGAAGTGTTAGGTATTGTACAGTTAATAGACAGAATGTTTACAAGAATTTTTTGTTGTTCAATAAAATGACAATCTTTAGATGGAATTATGATAAAACCTAAACCGAGATTGTTGTTTTCTATTAATTACAGGTCATCCTTGGTTGCAAAATGCCAGTAAGAATTCAAATGTCTCGTTAGGTGAAACTGTGAAAGCAAGGCTCAAGCAATTTTCTGTAATGAACAAGCTCAAGAAAAGAGCTCTTAGGGTAATGTCTCCATGCTACATTAAAAATAAAAAAATAAAAATAAAATAAAAATAAAAAAAACAAAGTTTTGTCATAGCTGATAGATTTTGGTTGGATTTTATCATGTGCATATTTCTAGACATTCTTTGGTTTCTGAAATTGCTCTCAATCAACAGGTGATCGCTGAGCATTTATCGGTAGAGGAAGTGGCAGGCATAAAGGAGGGATTCAAATTGATGGATACCAGCAACAAGGGGAAGATCAATATTGATGAACTGAGAGTCGGGTTGCACAAGCTTGGCCATCAGATCCCTGACACGGATATTCAGATTCTTATGGAAGCTGTGAGTAGTATACTTTATATAAAACATTATGTTTCCTTTTTCCTTTTCTTTCTTTTTAATGCACTAGACCTCATTTACAGATTTAAAAGTGTGACCTTAACAATAATAAGAATAATAATAATTGATCTATTAAAATTGTGCTTGAAATCCTACGCCCTCTAATAAAAATCTTCTTACATTTATGGTTTTTTTTTTGCGGTGTGTTAAAATGCATCTTATATGGTTAATGCTATTTGGGGAATAGTCAGTTGTTTTTGCTTTTGCACCGAACTTATTTACCAATAAAAAATTATTCTTTCTTTAACCCATCGTTAAATATAGTGGAAAATGAGTTTTTCTTTCTAGTAAAACTGTGGATGCTTTACGAGGCGTGTGCTTTATCTGGTTTCAATTTTCTAGTCATCAAATAAACAACATTGAAGTAGTAGACTTAACCTTTTAATGAATAAAAGTAGAAATTTGTATGATATGTATACTCATATTAAATCGTGTCCAGAAAGAAAAGAACATCCAAGCATCCCATACAATCTATACTGTTTTTACAGCCACAGGCGGTACTCTTATTGTGCATTATCCCTGCCCCGTCAGTCAAATTATCTACTCCATGGTAGCAGCAATTTACCATCAGGCCACAGCAACTTAGTTTGATATACTGTTCACTCACTATGTTAATTTTACAGATATTACATCATTTATAGCTGTTGGCAATTGGAACAATTTGATTGGTTTCTTAAGTACCTTAATTTTCCAGTTTATGTTTACTTTATTTGTGAGTGTAGAAGTAATCAGAGGGTGTTTTTACAGGGTGATGTAGACAGAGATGGATATTTGAATTATGGGGAGTTTGTGGCAATTTCTGTTCACCTAAGAAAGATGGGAAATGATGATAACCACCTCCGCAAAGCCTTTGACTTCTTTGATCAAAACCAAAATGGATATATAGAGATCGAAGAGCTAAGGGAGGCCTTAGCTGATGAAGTTGATACCAACAATGAAGAAGTCATTAATGCCATTATTCAAGATGTGGACACGGACAAGGTTAGTTATTACCTTATGATTGTTTTGTTTATGTTCTCTCTTCCGTAATTATTTAATTTTTGTTTCATATAGGTAGTAAGTTATATTGACATTAGAAGTGGGGGGTTATGCAAATTGGGCTGCTTGTGCAGTTTATTGACGTAAAATATTTTTTATTTAAACTATCCGAACTTTGGGTAATAAAAATGAACAAGGATGATGGAGAGGTGAAGCTTGCAGTTGGAGATCAGTTTAAAAAAACTTGAATGTGCAATTGTACGCCTAAGTGTGTTTCAGTAGATGTGTATGGGTGCCTGATCACACAAATCTGTTTTTGCTCAAGGAGTAAAAAAAAAAAAATTGTTTCTGTTCATCATTAAGGACAATTCTGTGGTTTCATTTGGTTTTCCATAGAACTTGGGATTATTTCTTTTGTGTTCGATTCAACTCTGCTCTCCAGTAGAGGTCAATTACCAAATTAAATCGTGCCACATTGTCATTTGGGTCCTCCATATTGCCTATCCCTTCTGAGTTCTGATGGTGCAAGGTTTTTTTTGTTCTGCATGCTTGGATCCATTACTTAAATTTCATTTCATATGGTTGCAGGATGGCCGCATAAGTTATGATGAGTTTGCGGCAATGATGAAGGCCGGCACTGATTGGAGAAAAGCATCAAGACAATATTCAAGAGAACGGTATAATACTCTCAGCTTGAAATTGATGAAGGATGGATCATTGCACGCGAAATAGGGTATAGATAACTCAAGGAATTACAGTCTCTTGTTTATTTTGGCTTTGACAATTCCTCTTTTTTTTTTTTTTGGTTACCCTTTTTTTGTAATTTTTCCCTTCATTTTTTTATCCTTGCCAGACCCTTTTCCGAATATGAGGATTCGGGTCTTGGTTGTTGAAAATCATTCTGAATTCCCATATGTTGTTTTTGTTTGTCTGGATAGAGTTGCAGAAGTGTGGTGAAAGTTGGGGAGAGGTGGTTATTTGTGGGTTATTGTGATTGTAAATATGTTGGCAAATACTTTAATTAAAGAGTCATGATGTGGATTTTATTAGTTGAAATTTTTTAGACTGTTGTTTTAATTTGGATTATATGTACTGAGTCTCCACAATTTTGGGGGTATATGTTTAAGAAGCCAACTGTGGTTAATTTCATAATGTCTCCAAATAGGGAAGCAAAGTCCCTATTTAGTTGACAATTTATGTCGTTAGTCCAGCCAGAAAACACTATCTATATTTCGTAGTCAGTTTAAACACATAACTCACTTCGTCACAACATTGCTCCTTCCTGAATTTTTACCACATAAATTTTGTTGGCCCTGAGAAAAATTTTGCACAATTGGTGACCTTGAAGACCTCTACATGCAGCAGCTTATTTCAAAGTTAATGTTGACAAATAAGTTGTATAAATGATTTATCACCAAAGTCCACTTCCGAAGCTTCGGAAAATGACGTCTGCAGAAGGCATCTGTAGTTTTCAGTGGTTATGAATTTGCAAGTGGTCCATGTTTTTCATGATTAACCCATAGTGATAGTCATTTTGGCATTGAAGAAAAGTGGTATAAAAGAGAGAGGACAATTAAGGGATTAGAAAAAAGGAAAAAGGAAAAAGGAAAAGTAAGAGATAACGGGTCTTTTTTTTTTTTAAAAAAAAGGTTTGTAATAGCTCTTCAACCCTTTTTTCATTATTTTCTGTGCATTGAAGAAAAGTGGTATAAAAGAGAGAGGACAATTAAGGGATTAGAAAAAAGGAAAAAGGAAAAGGAAGAGATAACGGGTCTTTTTTTTTTTTTAAAAAAAAAAAAAAAAGGGTTTCTAATAGCTCTTCTACCCTTTTTTCATTATTTTCTGTACCATTTACTTTCTTAAAAAGAAAGCAATATTTTATTTCTAAAATTATAAAGCACATAAAATGAGTTATTTAATTTAGAGGAAAAAGAAATTAATTTAAATCGATTTGACGTAAGAATTTTACTTGTAATGTAAGTTGGTCAATCAATTGAATTAACAAAAACTAGATGACATGCACTTACAACTTACATAGCAAAAGAACCGTGTTGCGTAAAATGATACAAAATACCGACCGGTGGGCCGACTGATCGTGGTTCATGTGATGCACTTATGTGACCCATATATTAAATGTATCAAAATCGTTTTGCCTTTTGTTTTACGCCTAACACTCCTGTCTTGCAAATAATGGATGAAAGTCTTCAAACGATTAGAAAGTACAAATGGAGAGCAGATGGATGAAAGCCGTTGAAGCGAAATATCTTTCTATAGCAAAGAAAAGTAGTAATTGAAATGAGTACGGGTGTGGTGGACGCTAGGTATGCAACGACTATCAAGTTGACACTTGATCCGATTCTTTAGAGAGCATTCACACCGGCTCGGGAAGGCTCTTTCCGCGAGTCAAGCAGCCCAACCTAGTGGAAAATGGGTGGGTCCACAAGTCCGATAGTTATAATTGTTTTTTTTGGTCTTATTCGTCGTCAAAACGGCATCGCTAGCCACATTTAATTAACAATGCCATAAGGCACTGCTTGGCTGCAAGTTTTTTTTTGAAAAAAACTCAAAAATAGATTATTTTGAACTTTTTTTTAAATAAAATAAAATTTGTTACATAAAAATATATTGTTTAGGTACTGTTTGTCCAAAAATAAATTAATTTGGGCCAAAAATAAATTAAAAAATCTTTTATTTTTTATTTTTTCTCTTAAAAATTAATTTTTTTAACTTTTTTTTGTTTTAAATTTTAAAATTCTACCACAAACAATGCATTTGTAATCCTTAATCTATTTATTTTCTAATTCCAATTCATAATATTATATTGTTTAAGTTATTTATAATTATTTTGTTTAATTTATTTTTTAATTTTTTTTAGTCCATAATGAATAACGTATTGTTTAAAGTTATAATATCAATCCTAACTTTTTAAATAATTTTGCATAAATAGTATTTGATTAAAAAATATTACCGTTGAGAAACAATTTCATCATTTTTAATATTAAAAAGCCATTACATAATAAAAATTTTAGTACATGAAATGTAGCCATTATGAATATAACGGTTAGGGTCAAATAATTTATATTAATGTTTAAATAAATTATGAAGGAAAATAAAAAATAGTGATCGTATCCTTATTTGGAAAAAGATAGAGGAGAAAAAGGTAAAATAACTAAATTACTAGCATAACATTTTATAAGATGTAACTCAAGTGTCATAACAAGTTTTTTTTTTTTTTTTTTTATTGTTAAGGGTAATAATAAGATTATGAAAATATTATTTAACCCGCTGTAATTTCTCTTCAAATCTTATTACTTTTTGAATGATGGCAAATGCTATCACTGCTAACTTTCCGAAAACAAAAAATGTTATCACTGCTACTTGCTATGCCTCCAACGTCTTCAAAAAATTTATTCTCTCTCTCCCAAGGGCAACAAATACGTAGAAGTTCATATCATTTATTTTCCTTCTAAATTCTTTTATCCAAACGAAGACTAGCGATAAAGGTGTTATTTGATAACTTGCTTAATTTTAAACTGATTAAATATTTATTCAATTAAGTGCATTTTATAAGGTAATTTGAATATCGCTGAAATCGATAATCACCACTTATAATAGAGTAAATATTTATTTTTTGATTACCACTCGAGAACTTGAGTACTTAGTTTTTAATTTTATCAATCAGCACGAAAAACTTTTTATATTATTTCTCTTTATTATTCGTTTACAATCCTTCCTTCTAACTGAACGGAACTTTAGTTTCATAGGATGATTAATTTTTAAAGTAAAATCATGATATAGAAATTGAAAGTTGAAAGGTTCAATTAGTTCGAGCTATGGACTGCGCTTATCGAATTATAATATAAATCCGATATGATTATTCAATTCAATTAAAGGTATTCTGTTTTAATAATGATCCGATTCAATTAAAATTTTATATATATAATATGAATGTTATATATATAAGTTATCTATTATTAAATTTATATATATATATATATTAGTTATCTATCATTATATATATTATGTATCATCTTATATATTAATTATTTTTCACTCCGTTATATTTTATAAATTATAAATATAATTAATTTTAATTATAATTTCTCATAAATAAGATATGAATTAAAACATTCAGTTCAATACCCTTGAGTAATCTGAATTTGATAGTTTATTAATTTAACAAATTGAATATAAATTTAAGTAATAAATTAATAATTCGATAATTCATTTATTTAGCAAATCAAATACTCCTTATAAATTTACTTGATCTGATCGGTTGATAAGCTTTAAAGCTTAGCTGTACCGCTCTGACCGATCGGTCGCGTATCTTTATTTCTTGAAGAATTTTTTTATTTTATTTTTAATATTTTTTTATTATAATATTAATTTTTATCTTTCCTACCAAACGGAGCATAAAAGACCAAAAGTGTGTCATTCTTGTTTCAATTGAGATTTGAGAGGAACCAAATCTAGGCGATCTCTCTCGTTTCTTTCTCTCGCCCAGGTACAATGAAGAGTCCATTTTATGGATTGGTATCGTTTTTACGTTTAAACGGTGGAGAATTACAATCCTGACAAATGCGTCCATCCAACCAGTTCGACCAACATGCAACTCAAAAGACACAAAATCTTTGTATATTTTCTGTACATATTTTACACAGCTTTGCATATTTGGTTTTGCTGGGAGTGGAAAACGCAGAGCCTAGCTCATTTGTCAGGGTTGTGATTCTCCTTCGGTAGCGTGGAAATGATAGCAAGCTGATAATTGGATTTTCATGTGTCTGAGTCCGAGAATGAAACGATGGAATTGATCGATGATTGCGTCGGCGTTCTTTTACCAGTTGTCAGATTCAGATCGGTAACTCGGGTCTTTATGAAAGTTCCTTTCTTTTAGGGTTCAATTGTACTTTATACTATTCTGAACCCTAACCCTAGTTTTCTCTTAGGATGTCTAGATTCGTAACCTTTCATGGTCGAATACTCTCTATGTTGTTGCTCTTATTATATTCTTTTCATGTTTAGCGTCGATTGGTCGATTAGGAAGTCATTTGATGTGGATCTGTATATTTTAGGAAAATTTGAGTTTAGCTGTAAATAGATCTTACTAGCTCGTCAAATTTTGATACTGTGATTATGTTGTATTAGTATTTGTTCCTATATCTGAATTCTGAATGCTGTTATTATGTTATACAAAGTTCGATATGTGTATACAGGAATCATGTAGTTTACACTTTTCTATGGTTTTGTAGTTCCACTTGCTTAGTTACTTGTTTTTATAAAACTTCTCTATGTTTGTAACTTTGTATTGTTTTTAAGTGGTTTGAAGATGTGTTATGCTGTCAGTAATTTGGTTTGGGATATGATATTTGTACTACACAAATTATTTATATCTACGATTCTACATACAAGTCTTTGTGGGTTTGCGTGTGATGCTAACATCAAGCACTCCACTTGGGATAGGCAGGTGGATGGTCAAAAATGTTCATGAAAGAACCTTGGAACACAAATTGGTTTAAAGTACAGAGCAATAGAAGAAAAGGAACAGTATATGAAGGAGAACAATTATAATTTTAAAAACCTGATTTTTGTTCAGATTTAGAGGTGTTATGGTTCAAAAGTTCTTAATCCTAGTTTGAGTACAAGTTTTCACATTAATCATTTGAGCTGATTTAATAATTGGGCTTTATTCAGTTGAGTTGAGTTGAAGCTGCTTAAATGGTTGAGTTTGTTTTGTAGAAGTTTCCAGTGTTTTGACAACTATAACTGGGCTGTTATGCGATTTGGGGATGTATCATTATTATTATTATTATTATTTTTGTTGCCATTTTTGTTACAATTTGTGTGTTCTGTTAGGTCCATTAATGTTTTAGATGTTAAGGAAAGTGAAATTTGTTCACAAATAATCGACGCGGGGCTTTGTGGAGTTTACTTGAGTTGAAGCAAAATTAACTCAGATCAGATTAATTATGTCTGGTAGCATTTTGTTCTATTGAATGTAATGAATGCATTGGTTGTCTGGTTTTTGAACATATTATAATATAATTTGGGT